ATAGTCTTGTTTTGAAATACTTGTTTCATTTGGTCTATCGATCTCATTTTATACAGCCAATCTTTCAGTCTGATCACTTTTTCTTCTTTAAATAAATCCACATACACCTTCATATTGGTAGGAAAATTTTCTATTTCTGTCACTAATCCAAATGGAGAGTATGATGAACACACTTTAAATATATCACTTACCCTGAAAGCCCTGTTAGGGTAACTATTTTTATTTTTTATTTTATTAGATTCATACCCCACCCATCTAGACAGATAGTTTACTTTATAGTCTACTATCATTTGGTTCTGACTTGACAACACACACACACATTGTTGGAACATAATAGCTCTGTAACTCTCTGGATTATAGTTTCTGAAAAATATTTTAGCTAAAATATTGCATTACTTTTAAAATTTCATTTAATAGGTATTGGAAAAACTGTGATGTGAAATTCAGACATAACCTCAAAGCAGGCTTTTCTATTCTATGTACAGGTCTATGTGGTTTCTCCTTACTGTTACTCCCCTCATGTGCTTCAATATATGAACTAACATCTGGATTCTCAGCAAGCCATAGTCTGCATTTCATTTTAACCCAACTTACTGTGGTTTTCTTAAACTATAATTTTACTTGCAAGCCAGGATCACAAACCGAAGTGTGGTCACGGTGTTCCTGCTCTGAAGACTAAAGAATCTTGAGCAAAACATGATCTTCCTGGTTCAAATGCTGAACCCCGATATATAAAGGATGGGAGAAATAAAAAGCATACAAGCCCCAGGGTACATCTTGCTAAACCAAACAGGTTGCTTCCAGGCAAAAGTTTCATCATATAATTTGTCTTATTATCATTTTCAGCCTATTTTGTTTTAATTTTCCCACCCTTTCTTTCATCAAAGGACAACTACACGGTGTATTTTCATTAGTAGTACTAAGAACCTACTGGCTGGAAGAACCCCAGGCTTTGGTATATATGTAGGGTTGCAGCATTCATTTATGCTCAATCAAGATTCTTTTATAATAATTCAGAAGCTCTGGCAAAAACAAATTTTGATATAAAATAGTACCTATAGATCCTTTCCCACTTATGTTAAAGCAGTGTATAACCAAATAAATAAATCATTTTGATTGTTGGTGTCTTCAGTGCACTCTCTCTGCCTGCCTGCCCCCCTCTTACACACACACACACACACACACCTTCAGTATCTCATGTTGAATAGTGATCCATTTTAGAGTCAGAACTCATTTCCTGAGAGCGCTCATAGATACTGTACACGGAATAAAAACCCTTTTTAAAAAAAGAAGCAATGTGCATCTTCTTTATGTAAGGTAAAGATAAAGGTTCCCCTTGACATTTTAGTCAGTCGTGTTCGACTCTAGGGGATGGTGCTCATCCCCGTTTCTGAGCTTTGGAGCCAGTGTTTGTCCAAGGACCGTTTCCGTTGTCACGTGGCCAGCGCGTCTTAGATTCGGAATGCTGTTTACCTTCCCACTGAGGTGGTACCTATTTATCTACTCGCATTTACATGCTTTCGAACTGCTAGGTTGGCGAGGAGCTGGGACAAAGTGATGGGAGCTCACTCCGTCGCGTGGATTCAATCTTACAACTGCTGGTCTTCTGACCCTGCAGCACACAAAGGCTTCTGCGGTTTAGCCCACAGCACCACCATGTCCCTTTTTTTTCTTTCTTCTTTATGTAGTTGGTTCCAATTCAAGAAACAGAAATCTAAGCGATTTAAACCACAGGCTCAACAACTTGACTCTTGCACTGGTACTAGCAAAGACATGTTTCTGTTCATACATTATGTATACTATTTCCTGGATCATCTTTCTTGCATTCCATTAAGCATCTTTAACTGCCTTGAGGGCCTCTTCTGGCTTTTTAGTCTTGTGTGTCTTTACTGATGGGTGCAGGGGGATTACAGACCTTGTGTGATTGTATATTTTAGTAACATCTGTCAGTGGTTTCACATCTGGTCTCCAGAGAGCCCTGTCTGTTACATCCTTATCTACCAAATTATCATTGGTACATATATCTAATAGCTGAAGTGGTCCCTAGATTAGTTTTATGGATCTGAACCAAACTTGAAGCAGATTGCTACATCCATACACATGAAGGTAATAGCCCACAGAGTAGTCTGCAGGAATAGCAGTTTGACTATCATAACTGACTTGGCAAGATTTTATAGGAACCAGGCACCAAGGTATAAAGGTAACAAAGAAGTAAATAAATAATAAAAAATATGCACACACAGAGAGTCAAGAGAACAGGGTTTTAAAACACACAGTTCCTTGCAGCTGCCATGCATCTCCCATTTCCATCTATATCTACCTTGATCAGGTCTGCCATAGCTGCTGGATGTGCTCACATGTGGGGTTGGGTGGAACACTTACTTTCTGTACTAGAATACATGTGTGTACAACTACATATGAAGGGCATAGCTGAGAAAGTCAGTTAGCTCTTTTCAGAGTGACAATCAAGCATATTGGTTTACTGCAGCATTCCTTCCATGTAGCACATAGCCAGGAGCATACAAAAGAGTGAAAGGGATAGTGCGGAAGGCAGAGCGAACTATTAATTGGCCACAACTTTCAAAAATGTTCCAGTAGTGGAATTGGAGGAAAATTAAAATACTTCCTCCTTGGCACAGTGGTTAAACTGCAGTACTGTACTGCAGGCGAACTTCTGTTCCTGACCTGCGTTTGATCGTGACAGATTCAGGTAGCTGTACCAAGGTTACTTTCCATCCTTTCTGAGTTTGGTGCTTGCTGGAAGGCAAAGTGTTGTTTGAATAATTATGTTGTAAACTGCCCAGAAAGTGCTCTAGCACTATGGGGCGATATAAAAGTCAAAACAACAATAACAACTCAATCTCACTACTGTCTTGAACGTGAAAAGCACCATAATTGCACATTTCATTTACTTTATCAATTGCCTGAGATTTATGCCCCAGATAATTTTCTGTGGAATACATCATAAAGTTTTACATTATCCTTTGAGCCATCAATCAGGGTAAAGTACCCCACCCATCCTAAAGAATGTGACCAAACTAAATTCACTTCAATTAGCACTTCAGTACAAATGAGATGAGAGTCCCTTCCCTTTCTTTCATTCTGCTTTAAAAATAAATAGAAATAAGGATAAGAGATGAAGGCATTTGTGAAATATCAGTAAAATGCCTGTTGCTTAATGTAGTAAATCACTGTACATTGGAGCAGGCCCATCGACTCAACAGAATTTGGTGGGTCAACCCCTCCATAGGTTCCATCAATTTAAATAGACCTACACTAACTGTGACTTACTATGCTTAAAGTGAAGCTGCACGTAGGCCGAGATTTGGTCTGTGGTTTGGTCCAGTCTGGGGATGGGCTGGTTCACTTCTTTTCCTAGTAACCACATGATGTATGAGCCAATGTGAACCAGCCTGTCCTTGATCCATCTCTACCTTAAAGCTTCTTCTCACTCTCCCATGGAAGACAGGAGGGGACAGGTGTGTGTGTTCTCTGTTATTTTTCATTCTTTTTTCTTTCTCTTTAAAAGGAGGAGGGGTCAAATAAGGTTGACTGAGGTTTTGTGTGGTTTTCTGCCCTGAAAACACCCTACTCTAGCATGTGCCTGCAAGGATGGCCCCAAATGACATTTTGCACCTCCAAGTGAGGTTGTTCAGCACAACCCAGACTGATCCAGATTGGGATAATTTTGCTGTTTGAGCACAAAAATTCAAAGTTTACACTTGAACTCAAATAGGCATTTACAGTGGTGCCTTGCTTGACGATGATAATCCGTTCCAGCAAAATCGCTGTACAATGAAATCGTCATTAAGCGAAAGTAAAAAAACCCATTAGAATGCATTAAAAATCGGTCAATGTGTTCTAATGGCCGAAATACATCACCGTCCAGTGAAGATCCTCCATAGGGCGGCCATTTTCTGGTGCCTGTCCTTAACACAGCAGGGAGCCATTTTGAAACCGACAATCAGCTGTTTTCTGATCATCGTTAAGCGAAAAATCGTTTCCTGGAGCAGAAAACCGATCATCGTCAAGCATTTTTCCTATTTAAACATCGTTTTGCGATTGCAAAAGCGATTGCAAAAACATCGTCATGAAGCGATTTCATTGTGGAGCGGGGTAATCGTTAAGTGGGGCACCACTGTATTTATTTACCTCCCACCTTCCTCTCAAGGCAGCTTGTAAAATGGTTAATAAAACAGATACGGCTAAAAGCATGTTATACTATAAAAACTTAGTTCAGTGTATTAGTTTTAAGCAACTACTGAATTAAAACATTTTAAAACAATGTGAAAGCACGTAATTTTACAAAAAATAAAAAAGGAATGCATTCTCCATTATAATGCTCTTCCTAAGCAGCCTGTTCAGGCTACATGATCTTTTTCGCCAGTGGGTGGACAACAAAAAGAGGTCTAATTTAGTCTCCCTTTGCATGGACTTCCACTTTTAGAACCATCTCTTGGGCCAATACAATATAAAGCTATGGGGCCCAGGATGCGTTTTGAGTTATTATAGTGTTGCCTTTTGAATATTGGTTTATAATATAGTATTTTTACTTATTTTTCTTATCCTACAAAGCATGTGCAGTAATCTTTATTTATCTCATACATTAGTGCACAAATGTCTGATCTTTGCCTGAAGAATTGTCACATGTTCCAATCCTGCATTTACACATACGACTCCTGCACGTTTGCTGCATTTCCACAAAATATTAATGCAGATAAATTAGCTCTATGTCAATTTTGGACAAGTGCTTTTATTTTTTTTTCTAAATATTGTCATACAAACTAATGCAGTTCCTGTTGTCACAAATGGTAAGTTTGTGTGTCACTACCATTGGCTGTGAGGTATGCAAAATTACACACATTTACTTGTTTATGTGTTTCTGCAAGGGTGGAAATTAAAGTGTTCTTTTTTAAAACAGCTAAAGAAGCTGCTGCCTTTGCTCCTTTCCCAGTACAAAGGAAAATTTCAGACCAAAAGGCAGAGCTAGAAGGTAGGCAATTATTAAAGTAAGACGTTGGTCTACTAGTTGTATCTTTTTCCTGCAACTTTAATTAACTGAATGTTTAATTTTAAACTATTTAAAAACATTTCTTGTATTTGACAGATTATAGCTAAGCCAGTTAAGTAGTAGTGGAGTTGTGTGTGTATGTGTTTGTGTTTTAACGTATATACCGCCCAGTGGTGCTAAAGCACTCTCTGGGAGGTGTGCTACACTTTGTACCCCTCTCCTCATTTTACCGACCTCAAAAGGTTGGAAGGCTGAGTCAGGCTACTTGAATCCATCAGGATTGGACTCAGGTCGTTAGCAGAAGCTTGACTGTAGTACTACAGTTTAACCAATGTGTCACAGGGAGTTGAAAGTAACTAACACAAATAACTAGTTACTTTAGCTTTGTTTGTTTCTCCAATAGTAGTAAAGCTATAGCTGCTTAACATTATGATTGTAACTTAGTCAAGGCTAAGCTTTCATGACATAGCTGTAGCATTTCAACTCAAAAATTTGTCATTCCTACTTTGCATGTAATACAGCCCTTGTATTTCTTTTTTTATGACCCTTCCTCCTTCTGGACCTTAGTGGACTGCAGCTTTGGGCGAGGATCTTGTGGCTGGCAGCAAGATACCGATGATGACTTTGACTGGAATCCTGCAGATCATGTGAATGGTAATGTCACTGTGGCCAAATTGTAAAGATGGATGGCTTTGTGTAACTATGAAAGAGTAGGGAGATGAACCCCTGATGTTCACAGAGACTGGGATGGGAAGTGCTGGCTTTATGTTATTCAGTTCTTTGGACCATGTTAAGTCCTACTGCAGAGTGACCACCCATTTTCTTGAATAATTTTTCAGAGGGTATAGGGGGCTATGGTAGGAAGGGTGAAAAACCCCTTTGAGTTCATGGAAGGCCATGTGTGGTTTTTAAGAATTTGTGCTATATATCTCTATGTGATTTCACATCTGCATTTTCCTTTTTGTTGGGATTCAGCTTTACTGTTTGTAAGTGCTCTTCTCTTGGAATTTGTCAAAATATCTAATTTTTAAATAGTTACTGTTTCCATAGATGATACAGAAATCTGATAGTTTAAGAGAGAGAGATCTGCACATCTCTTATAATCCTAGACATGACTTTTGTTCTCCATTCTTTTTTTTTTATTTATTTCACTCCTGCTTAGAAGGCGTTTTGTGTGATTAGCCAGGAAATTGGCTTTATGTAAGATAGTGGGCCAAGTCAAGTATAATAAGACATAAGACTAATAAATGTGGTTTATTGGATCAAGAATGTGGATTGACATTTCCTGTATTTTGCCTTCTATAATGCAAAATCTCCATTGTTAGTTTCCTATCATTTTTTAACAGTGCTTGAATTATGTTTCCCACAATTCCTCAGCCACCACGGTCACTGGGAGTTTTAGGTAGTTTTTTTTAAAGTAACTTTTTAAAGGTCCAATCTGAATTGGAAAATTATGACTTCACTTCTGACAACCAAACTAACCTCCTGTGTTCAGATATAACCGGAGAGTTGACAAACTTGAAAAAAATTATGTTACAGTAAATACAGAGCTTAGAGCGTTACTCTTTTGCATTACAACTCCCAGATCCTTTCAACCAACATGGTTTATCTTGCTTTCTGGAGGAATGTGGTACCTGTAGTCCTTCTTTTGGATAACTGACAAAAGGGAGGAAGGAGAACCAGTCATGCAGTGCTCTTTCTTGACCATTCATGGGTCCATGGTCAATTTGGAATTTTGGTATCAAAACAGGTCATGTCATATGTAGCAATGACATTTAAGGCAAAACAAAAGTAATATACAATTTCTCCTTTTCTGAATCCCTATATATAACTCTAGGTGATGGATATTACATGACTGTTCCATCCTTTGTCGGACACAAGAATGATGTTGGTCGACTGAAACTTCTACTCACTGATCTTGAGCCAAAGAGCATATATTGTCTGATTTTTAGTTATCGACTTGCAGGAGAAAGGGTGGGGAAACTAAGAGTAATCCTGGGTGACACGACTAATAGTCCTTCCTGGGAACAGAGTGTGGAGGAGGATGAATGGTGGAGAATGGGACAAATTGAAGTACAAACAGAGGCTGAAGCAACTACCAATGTAAGTTCAAAACTAAAACTCAAATTGTAAAGATGAGGACAAATATCTGTGTTTCGTGCTGACTTCTCTTTAGTGGTTACTAGTCATGATAGCTGTATGGTGCTGTTGGGCTCAGAAGCAGTATGGCCCTGAATACTTACCAAACACAACTGGCTGCTGAAGAACAAAACAGAAGAGCACTGCATCTTGTGCATGTCCTTGGGACATCTACTTTGCCATTGTGAGAAGCCCAATGCTGACCTAAATAGATCTGTTGGTCTCAAATCAACTGGTGGTCCCAGTTAGAGCAGACGCTTTGAATCAGTGGGATTCTAATAAGGTTTGACTGTCCATTCAGCAATTGATTACTGCACTTGAGACTAGCAACTGGATTTAAGCCTTAGTCTCATCCAGTAGGGCTGTTCTTGTAGATTGTGTGGTGGACGTAACAGAGATGAGCAAATTGGTCAATTTCAGCATCACTCATGGTTGGTTTTTTGCAGCCTTAGGTTTATTGTGTCTCATCTCTCCGTATATGATTAAAGAAAATAAATGCTTGAGATGCCTCCTCTCAAGCATTTTTCCTAATACTGTATATGGATTTAAAACTCATTTCCTTCTCTTATAAACTTTTTAACATGTATTTTATATGTTATTGTCATAATGTCTATTTTTTTAAAAAGTAGATAACTGCTTCACAAAATTTGGGAAAATGTGAATGGTGAAGTAGAAGTATATTATGCTTTGTGTATTGGTTCAGGAAATATGACTTAGGTAACTTCATATTCAAATGTGATGCAACAATTCCCCGTTCATCCCAACTGGTTGCTCCATTATGGTCGTAAAGTTCTGAGGATAAAAGTGTTCCATCAAATTCATTATAATTTAACCACTCAGGTAGTAATGTATATGGTGACAACAGGATGTTAGGGACCACAAGATGGTCAGAAGGGCAGGAAAGATTCATGGGGTCTGCTATTCTAGGGGTCCTTGTCTCTTGTGCTTATGAAGAAACAGGTCATTGAAATACATCTAGAAGCAACAGAAAGAATATAGCAGGCTGTGTGAAGATGGGGGTAAGAAAATGATGGAGGGGCAGCTGTCTCCGATGGTGAGAGTGAGACACTAAGAGAGTAAATTCCATGGGCATACTAGCTCTTAGAATGGGGAGAAGCATTTGTAATGCCCAGTTATGTTGAAATGTACTGTTTATACCGTAGTGGTAAATGTATAGATTTGTAATGCATTGGCTTGGCCAATACATGATGGGAGACGTGAGTGAGAAGCATGGAATATGTATTGATAAGAATGGTTCTGATTGGCTGGGAGAAACTAGGGGGTGGACTGTTGGCTGGATTTTTTGGAGATTCTGGAGAGTAGAAAGAGCAGATAGGTGGTGATTTTAAACAAAAGAACTGGGAATTTGGGGGGGGGAGATGTGACAGAGAGTTGGAAGAATTGCGCTGAATGAATTTAAAGCCTAGGAATAAATGACATCCTTTGGACAGTGTTACTTTAATAAAATCTTATTAAATTAATTCAAGCTGAATGGTGTGGAGCGTGTTATAAAGACATGAGTGAACAAGCAAATACACACACAGAGTGACAAATAAGTTTGGTGGCAGGAAGGACAAAGAGAGGAAACAATCAAAGATTAAAGTAAACACATTTATTTCTGTTGTTATTTACATAGAACAACACCTAAATAGTCAAATGAAAAGACAAAAGGAGTTTTGACATCAGTATATGAGAGACGAGTAGGATAGCATTAAAGTTACCCTTCACCATCCACAATTTTCAGTTTCCAAAAGGGGCTTCAACCACATATAGAAAAATAAATGGCACATTACTCAACCAATAAAGTTGAATAATTTACCTTGAACAAGGGAAGAGGACAAATTGGCACTGCAGTATCCTGGACTGCTGTATACAAATTCATGAGCAGAATGCCAATATTAATTACCCTGAATATGTATCAGTTTGTGTTTTATGAACTGAATCCTGTATGTGAAGATCAGAGTTGGTTTAAGTGTTTTACTCTGAATAATTTCTTGGTCTCTGGTTGGGTCAATCAGCCCATGAAAAAGGCAGACGTTCAAATATGTACATGCATGAGTGGAGCAGGGAGGTATTGGATGCACATGAAACTTTCATAAGGTGGGCAGGTGTCTTTCCTTTTCTTTTTTTCAACTTTAAAGAAAGGCAACACATTGTACTCAACAGCAGCAGCATCTGTTTCCTTTTAAACTTTGATTGGGAATGGCAGTGGGAATGTTACTACATTATGATGTTGTCTATGTGGCCCAGTCTCTCTCTGAAAAGTATGTAAAATCACTGACGCTCATGGCCATCTGTTAAGTGGCAGTATGGCTTCTTCTTCTAATTAAAAAGAGAGGAAATGAAAAAAAAAACAAGTTGAAATCCACAAAAGAGTTCTCTGTTCACTTTCACTGGAGGCCAAGGGCACAAGAACACAACTTGCAACTTGACCAAATTAGGCCAATGAGATCTCCTTATACCTTGTTAGTATTTTGTATTATTCTGATATAAGGGGATTGTATGATACAGCACGAAGAGTCGGACATGACTAAATGACTAAACGACGATGATACAACAAAGTCTTTCAATAGATTTAAGTCTCTGGTTTTTTTTTAAATTTTTTATAACAATCTGCAATACCTTGGTTAATGTAAGTGGGAGTTTTTGGTTTGTTTTGGTCTTATGAGCATGTACTTACCTGTTAACAATTCATCTTTCTTAATTCTATTTCTTTGCCCACTGTTTTATTAGGTCATCTTTGAGGCTGAACGTGGAAAAGGTAGAACTGGAGAAATTGGAATGGACACTGTGATACTATTTTCTGGTATGTGTCCTGAAGGCCACTTGACGTGGGATATCTGAGCTTACTTTCTGACTGCTACTGTATTACTGTATTATTATGCTGTACTAATAAAGAATTTTATATCATTGTGGTGTAGAAAACATGCAGATGTGGGAATCGTGTTTTGAATGACAGTGCAGACAGAAAAACTAGCAAGTCTAAAATGTCTCCACCAAGGAAACATGTTTGTATATAAAACATTTGAAGCTTTGTTTTTATATGTAGCTCTACTGTATTAATACCATTTATGGCCATGGCCTTATATAATGTGAAAATATTTGTCTAGCTCTTCTACAATAGATGTGCTTTATTATATATAAAGTTTCATTTTTAAAAATCCTATTATTGTTTATTCCACAACCCTCATACAGGAGTATGAAGTAGTACTTTTGAAAATTTAAAGCACTGAGTCTGGTACATTTGATACTGTAATTGCTTTTTGGATGACAATCTTACAATTCCTTACGGTTCGCTTTGCTGGTTGGAGCTGATGAAATTTGTCAGCCCAAATCTTCAGAGGCTAGATGCTGCCTATCTTGGATTTAGAGCCCTAACAGTATGGAGAGACCACCTATGTTAATAATATTTTTGTGCTCTCAAGTTGATTTTGACTTACAGTGAGTCTTCCTATAATTTTCTATGTTTAAAGCATTCAGAAACAGTTTACTAGTCTGTCCTTAGGTGGTGCTCTGGGAACATACAGCTTACCCAAGGCCAAACAGGGCACGTGACTCCATCAGCCACACATCATCCGACTGATCTTGGTCCCAGGGCTCAGAATGAGAATTTGAAATCCTAGCACCTGGTACTGCAAGCAGGGGCTCCAACCCGGGATTTATACCAGTACACTACGATGTGGATACATGGGACATACCACTGGGGATATACCACTGCATGCTTGGTGACTATTGCAGTAAATCTGTCAAGTGTGAAAGAGGAAAGGCCTTTTAAGAAGTCCTTAAATCAGTGGTGGGCAAAGTGCACCTGTGGATTTTGATCACTTCTAGTTTTGAACAAAAGGCCTAAAACAGCTCATGGGAAGACAAGGCTATTTTATTGTGTTTTTAAGAGCAAACTGAAGGTCTTCAGGCAGGCCTTCCCTCCTGCCGTTACTTAATTTTTTTCCCCTCTGGTTTTTGGTTTCATTTTCGTCTCTTTATTGATGATTTTAATTTTATTGCCTTTTTTAACTGTAAACCCCTCAGAGTAGATTCATCTAGATGGGCGGTATAAAAGCCATATAAATAAATAAATAAATAAATAAATAAATAAATAAATAAATAAATAAATAAATAAATAAATAAATAATATTATGTTGTGTGGTGTCAAGTTGGAACTACCTTATAAAGACCCTAGTAAGGCTCTTGAAGTGATATACAGTATTTAAGGTGTGGTTTTGCCCGTTACACACATTCTCCCCCATGACTTCCACGGCCAAGCAGACATTTGAACCCAGGTTTTCTGAGTCCTAATCTGCCATACTATTCACTACATTTTACTAGGTAACTAATGGGAAAACATAAATCCTGAAAAATTGCCCCTGTGCCCACTAAAAGCCTTGTTGTGTCTCTCAGCAATGAGAAAGGGGTGGGGATGGGGGATGCAAGGCCAGCAAGGGTAGACCTCCAAGGTTTAAGAGTAATTCCATATAGCCCCCCAAACCTCTGGAGGTTGCCCATCCCTTTCTTGCAAGCTTACGATGATCATAGCCAGTAATTCCTGTATCACACTTTGTGACTCTACTGATGCTAATACCAGTGTACCTGTGGTGACATATACACGCTGAATTAACTCTCAGAATCCAATCATGGCCGGGAGCTATATTTCTGTCCAAATGTTTATCTTGCCACTCTTCAAAAAGTTTTTCTAAAATAAATCTATTGAATACTGAGCTTCTGTAGTTTCCTTATAAGCTCCTGGTAAAGATTACAAAATATACTGTTTTATTTACTCATGGAGAAGGCAAGAGGAGAAACACCTTCCAGAGGCATGAAACACTATTGTATTGATATTGGTGACATTTCTTTGGCATAAGTGGTGTGGCCGAGACATATGGTGAGTGATTTCAGCAAATATGGTGATTGCGGTGCTGGTTACACATGGAACACTGATGGCTGGCCACAACAAAGAGAAGTGTGTCTCCCCTTTCTATAGCCAGCTACACTGGTCACACAAATATTAACTTCCTTATAGCACTTCCATGCATAGCTGGGAGAGGAAATTTTTCCTTTCACTCTCAAGGACAGCCCTGTGTTCGTGTTTAGTATTGGGATTTCTCCAATCACTACAGTCTGGGATGGCCTACCATTGGGCAGACTGAAACATCAGATTTTGTGGAGTCACAAAAGGATGCTAAATTATTAATTATTAAATTTATTATTACTGTATTTTTATTACCAGGGATAGGGAATGAGGCTTCTGGAATTTTTTTCTGGCTCATGTGCCAAAATAATTTACTGTATTTTTCCATGTATAAGACTATACTTTTGTCTAAAAGCTTTAGACTAAAATTGAGTGTTGTCTTATACACGGAAGCAAGCTGAGGAGAGAACAAAAACGAGTGGAAAGCAGGAATCAAAGTGATCCTGCAGATCCCTTTCTCCCTCCTTTTGCTAAGCCCTGCAGGGCTTAGCATGAAGGGAGAAAGCAGGGATCAAAGCGATCCTGCAGCACTTTGATCTGTTTTCCCCTACACTTGCTAAGCCCCACTTAGATTTCTTAATTTTGGATTAGAAAAGTGGGCGGGTATTTTATATATAGGGGTGTCTTATACATGAAAAAATATGGTAGCTGTCTTTTGGTACATTCAGTGGTGTAGTGAAGCCAGGGCTTGCAAGATCAGAACCCCAAGACTTTCTGAGTAACAGGGACTATGTCATCCTTTGCAGTCTCCCTTGGAGTTTCATGTCTCCTCTGAAACCTAACTACAATCTTCACAGTAGTTGGGAGAGAAATGGATTTCTCTTGACAAACAATATATTGTTGAAATCTCTCTCTTATAGTGCAAAGTATTTGAGCGTAGTTCAGTGTTGAATGGACAATTAAGGATCATTAGCTATAGAAAAGACATGTTCCTGGTGAAACAAAACAGCTAGATGTCATTTGTTGATATGGATCAATCCTGCTGCCCACATTTTCAGACTTTTATTATGAAGAAGTGGAGGGGGGCCAGTTATGGGGATTATCCTAATAAGTATGTACGTTTCAATATTTGCCATTATACTACTGGGCGCAATACACCTTGAACTGGAGAAACATGCTATTTGATCTTCCATAACTGCTGCCCATAACTGCTGTAAGGGTAGGGTTGTCAGTTTCAATATTTGCCATTATACTACTGGGCACAATACACCTTGAACTGGAGAAGCATGCTATTTGGCCCGCCCGCCCCCAGTATTTTGAAAAAAAGCCTCCATTGAATTTATTTTTAATTTTTAACATGACTGTTTCTTGGTTGGTTCACTAAGAGACATTGGCAGCTATTGTAATAAAATTGTATTGATTGTGAGTTTAATCTGGAATGATTCAAATGAAACATTCAATATGTCCTCCTTTGTCCTCCTTTTTGTTCTTCAATGTCCTCCTTTTAGTACCCGTGTATCTGGCAACCCTATGTAAGGGGTAATCTCATATTTGCCTAAGATTCGCTGAATACCTGAGCATGCTCACAAAACTTTGAATAATGCTTCATGTCATGTTGCAGCATCATGATTAGAACATGAAGGCCACATGTGCAGGGAAATCAGTCTGCTTACAACAGGGGTGGGCAATTAATTTCTATAGGGGGGCCACATGAAAAATCAGAACCGTGTTCGGGGGCCGAACCAACTTTACTTAAAAATAAAATGAAACAGTGATGTTATGATTGTTTCTATTTTAAACTTGTTAATCTTCACAAATACTGAAGATGTTTTTGCGGTATGTTAAAGATAAGCAACTGCTCAACTTTAAACAAAAGACTATGAATGGTTTTGATGTCCGGAGGGCCGGACAGGAGCAACTTGCAGGCCGTATGTGGCCCTCAGGCCGCACTTTGCTGAGGTCTGACCTACAACAAAAGTAATCAATTAACCTAAGAATAAGAAATTTCAGTTGGAATGTGACAATACAACTCATGTGTGGGAAACAGTGTTGGTTCCTTCCTCTCTGTGTGCATTTATGCTCCACAATAAAATTACCAGGGAGACAATATACAATTCATATCAAAATCTTTGTGGGGTTTTTGTGAATTTCCTTCTTCCATTATAATTTCTTCAAAGATATGCAAAATTTAATTTCCCTTGGAATTATTTTTTCTCATGGGTATAGTGTTGAATGATATGTCTGAGCTATATATATAGCTTTTGGAACTTACTCAGTTATTTTAAATTATTAAATTTTCCTTTAAACATTTACTGACATATTTGATGACAAATTGTACTTAAAAAAGGAAAGCATTGCCTAATGAAGTCTGAACTATACAGGGTACTAATTATAAAGAAAGAAAAGAAAAATCAGCTCTTTTAAAAGCTCTTAAGTTCTTATGAATCTATATATACAATACTTGCATATCTTCTTTTGAATACAATTCATTGCCTAATGAAGTCTGAACTATACAGGGTACTAATTATAAAGAAAGAAAAGAAAAATCAGCTCTTGTAAAAGCTCTTCTTATGAATCTACATATACAATACTTGCATATCTTCTTTTGAATACAATTAAGTTCACATATAGAGCATAGAAAAATTATTTCTCAGATTACAGCTGACAATCCAGAAGTAACATTTTCAATTCTTAGCAAGAGTTAAGAAGCTAGGAATGAACCAGAGAAGCCGGAGTTCTCGTCCCCCTTCCATTCCCCAACTATGTCTTATCCATGGTTAGAGTTGTCCTGGCCTAATATAGGCTTCCCTCTTAATTGGTGTTTTCTAACCAGCTGACTCGTGATCATTGCCACTCCTGAATTAGGTGGCATGGTGTGACATTTGACATCGTGGCTTGTTTGTCTCACTAAACACAGAGCTCACAAAGGCAAACCAAATCACCTCTTGACACGCTGCCACCAGTTGATCTCTTTATCAACTTACAGTACTTTACTTAGTAAAGACGAAGAAAAGACGAAGGTCCATCCAGTACTGATGTTTCAACAGAACAAGCTTATTAATTACAGATGGTTTCTGGAATAATTTATAAGCACATTCTTCAAGATTCATCAAACTTCTATATTAATTATCACAGATTACACTCTAATTACTCTACAAACGCTGCCACCAGTTGATCTCTTTATCAACTTACAGTACTTTACTTAGTAAAGACGAAGAAAAGACGAAGGTCCATCCAGTACTGATGTTTCAACAGAACAAGCTTATTAATTACAGATGGTTTCTGGAATAATTTATAAGCACATTCTTCAAGATTCATCAAACTTCTAAATTATCACAGATTACACTCCAATTACTCTACAAACCCCCCAAACTATCCTTCTCTCTTTGATTCCAGACTCAGACTGACTCTAACTGAACTCCTTCTCCCAGGCCCCGCCTCTTCAGCAGCCCCTTTGGCCCCGCCTCACAATCACATTAACATATAACTCATGAATAATGCATATAACCTAGAGTGGATGCCACACATGGCTTTATGAGCACTGTCCACACTATCCAGGTAGGCACTACAAGTATGACCTCAGATCTTATACATGTGAAGAATTGTGGTATTATTGTTTGAAGAGATGAATAAGCCAGAAGGAGGGATGCTCAGGTGTATAAAATCTGTATCTGTGAACTCTTTCCCTTTTCCCCTTCTTCTCCATGTCAAGTTTTGCTAGAACTAAATGTTTTTTTCCCTATTTTCTCTACCTCTCTCTCTCTTTTTTTGGTATTTTTTCAGATATTTACCTTTTTAAAATAGCATGTATTCCTTAAATAAATTTTCCCACTGTTTAAAGTATGATTAAGTGGTAGTTTGCTCACATTTGAAATGGCAGCATTTTTCTCTGTGCACTTTGGATGTGCACATTTTTCCAGATGCATCCCAAACATTTGTCAGTAAAAGGATTCCAGACAACTCATTGCCATGAGGAGTCTCAGAAGTGGGTATTGAGACAAGTCTATTGATCAATGGACTGAAATTGGATTTCTGACACATCCCTAGTGGAGTTTATTCATTTTATGTTGTTTGCTATATCCTAACTTTCCTTCAGTGAACCCTCTATGGCGTAGCGGACAGAGTGACTGTCACAACCAAAACAGGGCCGAAATCCCTGCTCAGCCAGAGAAACTCGCTGGGGGAGAAGAACTGGTAAAACCACTCCTTAAACATCTCACCTTGAAAGACCTGTTAGAGCTGCCATAAGTCTGTACTGATTTGATAGCAATAACTTTTTTTTTCTGGGAGTGCACAGTGGTGTACATGGCTCTCCTGTTTCCTCCGTTATTCTCATAACAACCCTATGATGTAGGTCATGCTGAGAAAGTACAACTAGTCCAAGGCCACCCAGTGAGTCTTATGGCTGAATGAGCCTTTGAGCAGATCTCTGTACATAGCCCAACAATCTAACCTATACTACACCATTCAAATGTTCTCGGTAGGAAAAGCCACACTTATTTTGCAGCTAATCTTATGTAACCAAGTTGCTTCCAAATAGGGATTGGGTACAAATGTGCCCTTCTGCATGCTTTTGATTCTAGGAATATTTATTCTGCCTTTCACAGTCCTTTTGGCTACTCAAGGACACTTGCTAAGTATCTTTGTGTACTCTGCTCCTAGCCAAGTAGGAGCTATAACAAGCTCACATTAAAAAAATATATATAACAGGCTTTAAGGTACCACATTTTTTAAATTTCTTTTAATTTTTATTATTTTTTCATTTTGTTTTTCCCTACAAGCTTGCACAGACTAACATAGCTACACTCCTTCTACTACAACCCACTGACAATCCTTTGCCTACAGAAAGAGGGCAAAACAATTCATCCTGCATTGCCAGAGCTGAAGGCTGACATAAGAAGCTTGAAGCCTCCCTCTTAGATGTTACTTTAGCAGACCTGGGTGCTCTTAAATGTGGTCAGGGTAATCTTCTGGACTTTCCCATTTTCGCACCTAGCCTGTCAAACTTGGCAGTGCCCAGCCTGAAGAAAGGTCTTGCTGTACTCAAAATCACAGCTGCTTTTTAGGAAGGCCCAGGAAGGGTGTTACCCAGTCTTGTTTTGGGGTTTTGCCGAAGGACTAAATCACTTTTTTCCCTTTCCAGACATCCTTGAGGCTTCTCTTGTTCCATCTGAAATTTCAATTCAAGCCTGTCAACATTTTGCACTGTCTCGCACCAGCAGAGGGTAGCAGAGATTCAAAATAATGTACATACTGTACCTAAAAGACTGGGTGTCAAGAACTTGCTGAGCGACAAAGGTACAAATTACTTTGCAGGGGAAAAAACGTCGAATTTATGTTCTGCCGAGGAACATAATTTAGAGTTTCGTTACCACTTTAATCGTCAACCCTCCTGCTGCGACAAAATATTCAAAACCTAATGTACCCCCCGATTTAAACCGGAAGAAATGTTCAAGACATATTGCGGGTCAACTGAAAACACACCGGACTTACTTCGGAGCACGAAGACATGCGACTGCACAGTCAAAACGGCACTATCATCATCATCATCATTATTAACAACAACAACAACAACAACACTGGAGGGCACTATATATGTAAGCGCGCGCACACACACACACACACGCTTATAAAAGGGACAGACAGACAAAAATGTTGAACGATCCGCGAATCGAACGAAATATCCCTAACTTTCAGAACAATTCTCCGTATTTGGCTCTTATGACTTAATGTATTTTCGGGCTTTGACCCAGTAATAGTGCAAACCGCTTTGGAACTGTTAAAATAAAAAAAGCCCTATAAAGTTGCCCGCCCGGTCAGCCCCCTAGAACCGCCCTCCTCCTCCGCCTCCCGACCCGCTTTCTGCCTCCCTACTAACGAAACCGCTTTGGAACTGTTAAAATAAAAAAGCCATATACTGTAGAGTTGCCCGCCCGGTCAGCCCAAATTGAGCCGCCCTCCGCCTTCGCCTCCCGACCCGCTTTCCGCCGCCCTACTAACACG